TTTCGAACACGAACTCAAGTGCATCTCTCCCATACCATTCGTCGAACACTGGCCCAATGAGATTGCTACTCACGAGAAGAAATTCCTCTCTAAATCTGTATGTGAGTCAGATTGTGCATCATCAGGTTAGGGGAGGGACTTGAGCGCTATTTATAGAGTTTTTGACCACGAGCCCTCTCATTACGGGCCGGGCCATACTCGGTCCATACTAATCAGCTCCATATTAGACTTATTAAGAACCCACATATCTCACCTTTATTAGACCAAAATAATTTAGTTAATTTCAATTAATGAAGCCCACATTAGGAAATTCTTACATAATTCATCAATTAATAGTAATAATTTTACTAAATAACAAAAATTAGAGCACAACAATAAGCAGTCACATTAAGCTTTCCCCAGCACATCCCTCGACGAAAATATTGCATCGCCTCCCGATTGCTACCCAAAACTCCAAGATGATGGAACGCTAAGCAAGATCCCTCACCTTCCCTAAGGCCAAAGGAATGATCCAACTACCGCCCAATGGTGTGCTCTACTACGTAATCTTACCATTCGATTTGGGTGTGCCTACTCCTGATTTTCAGTTTTAGCAGCTCAATTAAGTCCAAATCTACTAGTTTACTGGGAGTGATGATACCACATAGTTACAAGTGTAGAATCTACTGTTGCGCACAACTGCGCTCTTACTGTTCGACAATTTCGAATTGGACACGATTCCCAATATGGTCTCAAAATTCCTAATTTTCAATTGAATTTTGGGGTTTTCTGATTTCTTTGACAAATTGTGCAATTGGATAGACCATTATGTAATTCATGGTCCCAGAATCATTTGTTGTGAAGACACTATGACTTAAAAATGATTAGAAAAGATTTAATTGCATTTTTTATTCAATTTGGGTTTGATTTTGCCCAATTTTGGGAAAAAAACATACCTGATTGAGATTTTTCAAAATTAATGATCCATTAATGAAATTGGATTTAAAATAAGACTAATAACTATTTTTATGGAATTTTCTGATTTCATTTGCTATTTTTCTTGATTTTCTCACTTATTTTGACTAAAAGAAATTAAAGAAAAATGCAGGAAAATGCTAAAAATGGTTTAGAAATAGGTTTCTAGGCTTGGCCAAGATTCCTATTCATAATTTTGAGATTTTTGAAAATATAAAAAAATGAGTTAAAAATCAGGTGTTAACGGCTCTCCCAACCGATCATTGCGTAATTCTAACTATTTTTGTTTGCTTAATAATTCATCTGTATTCTTTCATGTACTAACAATCATATTTCAAGAATCGTTTGTCTAGTGAAAGGCACCTTTACACCTGATGTTCAAATCGACGACAAAGCCAAAGAAAATTGATCAAAAGTCACAAATATCTCAACCGCCCGTCAACTTCCGTGCTCTAATCTGCAGTTTTTGAATTAAATATTTCTGAACTTCTGGGAATTTCTTCCGCATAATGTTATAAAATTCTTCTTTAGGACAAGTCTTTCTGTCCAACGTTTTCAATGCCAACGTTGGATTAAGCAGATTGCCGTGTGGTATCATCCAATTCATTGACGTCAAAGATCACTCTTATAAGTTATTATGGAAGTCATTTTCACTTGGACTTCTAACAAAGAGCCAAAAGATAATTGCCGTGAAAGATCATGTCTAGATTCATGTTAAGCACCCAATGTGGACCGCAAATTCAATTCGTCAGTCGCAAAAACATTTGCTGGGAACTTGTGGTTCACGAATAGAATAAAAGAAAACTATATCTGAATCAAGTCGTGAGGAGAAGGTACGACTATTACAGAAAAAAACATCATCCTTACTCTAACGAGGCTCCTGTTCAACATCCCGAAGCTCCACCAGGACCCAAAGGCGTGGTCCGTTCCCCTCGAGTTCCGGCCCAAGAGATTCCTGACCACGCACAAGGATTTAGATGTTCGGGGTTAGAATTTCGAGTATTTGCCCTAAGGAAGTGGCACAAGGATGTGCCCGGGAGTGTCCTTCGCTCTTCAAGTGCTGCGCATTGCGCTCGCGACTTTGCTGCATAGTTTTGAGATAGAGGCCGCATTGGATGGACCGGTAGATATGAGGGCAGGTATGGGAATCACTAGCCCTAAAGTTACTCCTCTCGAAGTGATTCTCACTCCACGCCTTTTCATCTCTATGTCTAAAGATGGGAGGCTGAGATAATCTTTATAAGAAACACTATCAGGCAAAAGTTTTCTATCCATTATCAGCTTTACAATTACGAAGAGGGGTGCTTATGTGTTTTCTTGCGAAAACACGTATTTACGTATGATGAATGTGATGTATACAGAATTTCTCTATGCCCCTCATGGGAGACATCGTTATGCTTGATCTTGATGCAGCCTATTGTAGGCTACTCGAACGTTAGGATCGGGAGAGTGACTTGCACACGCGGAACATGACGAACAGTAATTACAGTCCTGCGCAAGCTTGGGAAAATGGATGTAACTTCGTCGATACAAATCGGAATGACCTGATTCCAAAGCCAAATGAACAAAGACTTCTGGATTGACAATTTCTCTGTTTTGAGTTTTCTCAAATAAGCACTGTAGGAAGGACGAAATCGGGGTGGAAGTGGACGGATGTAAATGGACAGAACAGAGGGAAAGATAGAACTTCGTTGGTTGCTCTTCAAGGCTTCCAAGGAAGTAGACAGGGCACCAATTCTTCTAGATTGATGACCGCAACTCTTCAAGGATGCAGATTTGAAAACCTCGAACTCTTCAAGGACGGAGTGAAAACTCTTCTAGGTTTTTAGGGGTCTAAACTCTTCAAGGTTCAAGATAATTGCTTGATGCAAAATTTGTATTAATCAAATTCGTCTACCATCTACAGAAATTTGATGGCCTTTTAGCCAAAGAAAGAAAGCAAACGCATAGGAAAATACTAAAGTCAAAACCTAGAAACTAGAAAACATTAAAGATCATCGAAACTAGAAGCTATTAAGAGCGAAACATTTTTCAACATCTTCATGGTTGTCCCAAGGTGTCTCCTCAAGCGTTTTGTGTTCTTTGATGCAAATTCATCGAATCGGCAACTTTCGACAAGAGGCTCTTGAATGCGGGTTCTTCGAATCGGCAACTTTTGACGAGCTTGAATGCGGGCTGATCGTCTTGGCCGAGTGATCTAGTCTTCAATGCGGATTGCATCATCCTCCCCTTCTTTAAAAGAATTCGTCCTCAAATTCATGTCATCATCGGAAGAATCACCCACATAAGGTGTTAAATGCCGAACATTGAATATGTTGTGTATCTTCATATGAGAAGGAAGCTTTAATCGATACGCATTAGGATTGATGCGCTCAAGGACTTCGAGGGGACCAAGCTTTCAATCACTAAGCTTGTTATAGCGTCCGACGGGATGGCGTTCCGGTGGCAAATAAGCCCAAACAAAATCTCCAGGTTCGAAGATAACTTCACGCCGTTATTTATCGATGTCCACTTTATAGGAATCAGTTTTGCTCTCCATCCTTTGGCGTACATCTTCATGAATTGTTCTCATTTGAGAAACAATATCGTCGACTTTACTGCTCGATTTCTTAGCAAAAGGAATTGGTGCAAGATCAAGAGCAGAATTCGGTTGTCGTCCATATACGATCACAAAGGGACTATATCCAGTGCTACGATTCTTAGCACAATTATATGCAAATTCGCCAAGTGACAACCGTGTCTCCCAAGAGCGGGGATTATCATCGATCAAAGTCCTCAATAGATTTCCCAATGTTCGATTGACGACTTCAGTTTGCCCATCCGTTTGACGATGAAACACAGTACTATATTGTAGTTTAGTACCAAAATTCTTCCATAGTTGCCGCCAAAAATGACTAAGAAATTTAGTATCCCGATCCGTAGTAATAGTCTTCGGAATACCATGCAATTTATAGACTTCCTTGAAAAATAAGCTAGCAATATGCGAAGCATCCATGGTTTTTCGACAAGGAATAAAATGTGCCATCTTCGAAAATCGATCGACAACAACAAAGATCGAATCCATACCTCTAAGTGTACGTGGTAGTCCGAGGACAAAGTCCATAGAGATATCTTCCCATGGCGCTTGTGGGATTGGCAAGGGCAAATAAAGGCCAGCATTGGTAGGTTGTCCCTTTTCAATTTGGCAACGTCGACACCTCATCACATGTTGGTGTACATCGTGTTTCAAATGAGGCTAAAGGTATTTGGCTGAAACGAGTTGTACAGTCTTGTCACGCCCAAAATGTCCTTCGCAGTGAACTTCATCGATCACCCTTTGCCGAAGAGAACAATCAGGCACACATAAACGGTTCCTTTTGAAAAGGAAACCATTACATACGGTAAAATCAGCAAGCTTCTTTTCTTGTGCGTCGGGAATGATCTTGGAAAAGTATGAGTTTTCTTGATACAACTCCCGAAAAGAGTCAAATCCAAGAACAGTAGAACGCATTGTATGGAGTAAGTTCTTCTTCCTACTAAGACCATCGGCAACCTGATTCTGAACTCCAGCCTTATGCTTAATGATGAAGGTGAACTCCTGGACGTATTCAGCCCATTTTGCACACCTAGAGTTAAGCTTTTGCTGCCCTAAAATATACTTGAGAGCTTCATGATCAGTATATAAAATAAACTCTCGATGAATAAGATATTGCCTCCAATGCTCAAGTGCGCGACACAATGCGTAGAATTCCAGATCATAGGTGCTATAACGAAGTTTTGCACCATTTAGTTTTTCGCTAAAGAAGGCAATGGGTTGACCTCCTTGACTTAGAACTCCTCCTATGCCAGTACCTGATGTATCGCAATACACTTCAAAACACAAGATCAAAGTTAGGCAAAGCAAAAACTGAGGCCGTGCTCAATTTTTCTTTGAGTTGTTCAAAACTTTTATGAGCCGCATTCATCCATTCGAAAGCTCCCTTCTTCATGCAAGAAGTGAGTGGGGCCGCAGTGGTGCTAAAATGCGCAATAAACCACCGATAGAAAGAAGTGAGACCATAAAAGCTTTACACTTCATGCACATTTGTTGGAGTCGGCCATTCTCGAATCACTTTGATCTTAGTATCATCCACCGAGATGTCGTTCTTTGAAATATGAAATCCCAAGAAAAGGATTTGTGGTACCATAAAATAGCACTTGTCGGGGGCTGCATGCAAGCGTTCATGCCTCAACACGCGTAATACTTCTTGAAGGTGCTGCAAATGCTCATCAGTAGACTTGCTAAAAATCAAAATATCATCAAAATAAACCACAACAAACTTTCCCATAAAAGGTTTCAAAACCTGGGTCATAAACCTCATGAATGTCGATGGTGCATTTGACAATCCGAATGACATGACTAGCCACTCATATAGCCCATCTTTCGTTTTGAACGCTGTCTTCCATTCATCTCTGGGCTTGATTGTAATTTGATGATATCCACTTTTCAGATCCAGCTTTGAGAAGATAATCACACCAGAAAGTTGATCTAGGAGATCATCAAGGCGAGGAATAGGAAATCGGTACTTGATGGTGATCTTGTTGATCGCTCTGCTATTGACACACATTCTCCAAGTACCATTTTTCTTAGGCACCAAAAGAGCTGGAACGGCACACGAACTGAGGCTCTCCCGTATAAAACCCTTGTTCAAGAGTTCGATAACCAGTCGATACAATTCCTCATGTTCAATCGGACTAATTCGGTAATGAGCCAAATTTGGTAAGGAGGCACCGGGCATCAAATCGATTTGATGCTGAATATCTCTCATAGGAGGGAGACCATGTGGTAAGTCCGTCGGGAAGACATGCTTGAACTCTTCCAAAAGAGGCTGAACTTGATGGGGTATGGAAGAGGTGACTTCATTTTCCACACAGGTTTTGTTAATTAAAACACACAAAATACGAACTCCTTTCAAAGCACCCTTCACATCCTTCATCGTAAGCAACGTAGGGGATGTGGAATTTTCAACTACAGGAGTTTTTAGAGGCTCCTTACTAGGTGCCAACATAATCTTTTTTCCTCCAAACTCAAAAGAATATGTATTACGATAACCATCATGAGTAGTTCTCCTATCAAATTGCCATGGTCGGCCAAGAATAATGTGACTGGCATCCATTGGTAGAACATCGCACCATATCTTGTCATAATAAATAGAACCAATGAACATATTAACAAGGCATCGTTTGGAAACGGTTACCTCGATGCCTTTCTTCAACCATGACATTCTGTAAGGCGTGGAGTGCGCTTTCAATTCCAAGTTGAGCTTGTTTGCCGCTACTTCAGAAATTATATTCTTACAGCAACTAGAGTCAATAATTAATTGGCATACCTTTCCCATAATTGTGCAAGCGGAATGAAAAATATTGGTACGCGGCCACCTATCTCTGGTATCATCTTGAGGAGTGAGGAAAATCTTTCTCACCATGAGAAGTTTGCCGGTATCAGCACGCACTATTTGTTCGTCATCCGCAGCTTCTTCATCATTGTTCAACTCTTCTTCAAGTGGGTCCTCCACATTCTCATCAGAATCAGTATCCACCAAGAAGGCTTTTTTGATTGGTCGATTCTTGTTGACTCGACAATTGCTAGCACGATAGCCCAACTCCTCACAAGAATAACAATGTATATTGGACATATCCTGTTGCTTCGAAATGTTGGGCTGAGTAGAAGGCTTACTAGCGGATTGCGTCGTAGCCTCGGCAACATTGGCAGTGTCGGTGGTATGCCTAGCAGTCCAGCTCGGCAAGGTAGAGGATTGCTGCCTCCTAGAGCGAGAGCACTCCACTTTGAGTGCCCGTTGGTATGCATCTCCTAAGTCCCAAATGTCGAGGACTTTCAAGGCATCTTGGATGTGAAGTTGAAGACCATTCAAGTATTTGTTCACAAGCACCTCCTCCGGATCCTGGATGTTGTTGCGAATCACCAACTCATTGAATTCGTTGGTGTATTGGTCCACTGTTCGCGTACCTTGTCTCAAATTTTGGTACCGTTGGTAGAGCTCCCTCTTGTATCCTTTGGGAAGAAAATATTTGCGAATCTTCCTCCATCTTTCTCCATGAAGTGATTGGTGCTTTGCCAACGGATTGGCGGGTTTGCTTCTCACGTCTCCACCAAGCAATGGCTTTGCCTCGGAATCGCATAGCAATGATCCCAACTCGGCGATTCTCCGAGACATTCCAATGCTCAAAAACATCATTCACAAGTGTCAGCCAATCAACAATTTCATCGGGAGAATCAGTACTTGAAAATTCTGGGACATCTTTCTTAACTTCCTTTTCCCAATCCGGCTCACGAATATTTTGTAAACGAGGTCGAGAATTCCTCCAACCGTGAAAAGATTGAACACTCTCCGAAGATGAAGAGTCACCATAGGAATCTTTGGTCCTGGAATGGGGTGGAGGATTGTTTGCTTCAGCCCTCAGACGTTGAACCTCTCACGTCAATTCGTTGATTTGTTGTTGCATATTGTCAGCGAGTGTGTGCACTTCATCTAGGAGAATGGTTCTGCCGCCACGATGTATGGCTTGTCTTGGAGGCATTGTCCTCTCCTCCAATGCTCTGATACGAAATGATGCAGCCTATTGTAGGCTACTCGAACATTAGGATTGGGAGAGTGACTTGCACACACGGAACAGGATGAACAGTAATTACAGTCCTGGGCAAGCTTGGGAAAATGGATGTAACTTCGTTAATACAAATCGGAATGACCTGATTCCAAAGCCATATGAACAAAGACTTCTGGATTGACAATTTCTCTGTTTTGAGTTTTCTCAAATAATCACTATAGGACGGACGAAATCGGGGTGGAAGTGGATGGATGTAAATGGACAGAACAAAGGAAAGGATAGAATTTCATTGGTTGCTCTTCCAGGCCTCCAAGGAAGTGGATAGGGCACCGATTCTTGTAGATCGATGATTGCAACTCTTCAAGGATGCAGATTTGAAAACCTCCGACTCTTCAAGGATGGAGTGAAAACTCTTCTAGGTTTTCAAGAGTACGAACTTTTCAAGGTTCAAGATAATTGCTTGATGCAAAATTTTCATTAATCAAATTCGTCTACCATCTACAGAAATTTGATGGCCTTTTAGCCAAAGAAAGAAAAGCAAACGCATAAGAAAATACTAAAGTCAAAACCTAGAAACTAGAAAGCATTAAAGAACATAGAAACTAGAAAACATTAAAGATCATAGAAACTAGAAGCTATTAAGAGCGAAACATTTTCCAACGTCTTCATGGTTGTCCTAAGGTGTCTCCTCAAGCGTTTTGTGTTCTTTGATGCAAATTCATCGAATCGGCAACTTTCGACAAGAGGCTCTTGAATGCGAGTTCATCGAATTGGCAACTTTTAACGAGCTTGAATGCGGGCTGATCTTCTTGGCTGAGTGAGCTGGTCTTCAATGCAGATTGCATCAGATCTAGATGGCACTTTGATTATGATAAACCCAGCACAGCGCATGCATGATTATTTTCGTAGTTTTCTTGCAAATAGAGAAATCTTTTAAAGAAAAATGTCATCACATAGTGAAATGCACCCATTTAGTTTTAAAATATATTGGAGAAAAATTCATAAACTGTATCAATTATAAAAAAAAACACAAACCGGAGAAGATAAGTTCTTTAAATGGCAAGTGCTTTGAGGTAAGAGAAGCGAATAAAGACAATCTGGGTGGATTTCTACTTGATTAGAAATAATTTTACTAAAGAACCGAAATTAGAATGGCTTAAATTAAGAAAGAAGCATTCATCAATTAATAGTAATAATTTTACTAAAGAACAGAAATTAGAGCACAATAATAAGCAGTCACATTGAGCTTTCCCCAGCACATCCCTCGACGAAAATATTCCATCACCTCCCGATTGCTACCCAAAACTCCAAGATGATGGAACGATAAGGCCAAAGGAATGATCCAACTACCACCCAATGGTGTGCTCTACTACATAATCTTACCTTTGGATTTCGGTGTGCCTACTCCTCTTTTCCAGTTTTAGCAACTCAATTAAGTCGAAATCTACTAGTTTGCTAGGAGTGAAGATACCACCACCTTGTTACAAGTGTAGAACCAACTGTTGTGCACAACCTAACTCTTACTGTAGCACCCCGCTTATAGACTAATGTCACGACCTCAACTCCCATAGGTGGCACCACCTAGGGATTCGGCTAATGGATTATTAAGTCTAAGCCCAACTCGGGCCCTTTCAAGCCCTACCAATTCGCGACTTAAGGTTCAAGTTATTAACAGACAAATTATTTTTATTTCAGAGTCGCCATTAATCTATTTACAGTGGGTCGATTAAAACCCAAATAAAGTATAGGGAGATATACCTTATTCCTACAAATCATAAATTGTGAGTACGGGGACTTGGTTACGCTAAATTACTCTAATGCCCTTTCGGTACCTTTTCTTTTCATGAAAACTTTTGAGAAGGCAGCTTGGATTCATTTTAACTTAGTCACTAACATGTGATGTGACCATGCGGGTGCGCAAACCACCAAGGTAACACCCAATAATCAAAGTATTAAATAAATTGCAAGATTGGGAGAATTACTTACCTCGAAGCAATGTAAGCATATGCATAGTTAGCTACAAAATCACATCAACAGCCCTAACATGATTTCTAATTAACAAGCAATTTACTCAATATTTTTTGGCTTTTCGCTTACTTCAATGAAAACTATCCTATGTGCAATGATGTGCGGAACATGACATCCAGTTAAATAAGCTTGACATTTGAACTATATGACATGCGGTTAAATGACCTAACTCTAATGATAGGCGAGTAATCTTTTTTTGTATTTTTCGAACAAAATTCGGAATTAAAAATTGCCTAAATTAACATGCAATCTATTTTAGAAAAGGTAATTTAACCTATTTTAGAGTGACTTCTTTTTTGGTATTTTTTTCTATGAAAATTCGAAATTAAAAATTACCCTAAATAAACTATCAAGATCAGGATAATAGCTGAATTAAACTAGGAAATAAATTACTTTAAGTCCTAATTGGAAAATTATCCTATCTTTCTAGCGTATTCGGGTTATCCTATTCTATTCGAAAAAAGTTATTTTATCCTAGCATGCATATCTATCTAAAAGAAATCAATTCAAATCCTAACTAATCTTTTTGGGATTTTCTTTTTGGAGGAACGAAATCAAACAAATGGATAACTGCCACCACTGAAATTAATCCACGCAATCTGCAATATTTGTCTTAATATCTTTGAATTAGGAAAACGATATAAACCAATTATCATATCCATGTGGTTATGGATATTGAGGGAAGGTTATTCGTTTAAATTTGGGAACAAAATAAAATCTATTATTGTATCCAAATGGTTATGGATAGAATGACGATTTTCCATGCCACCAAGTATTGTATCTTATGGTTGAGATCGAATTGTCGTCCAAACACGTTGTTAAGTTAGGAAAGTTTGCTAACTTAGGGTATTTTAAAATCTTGCAGATATATCATGCATCATTCAAAAATATTAACTAATCCACCAAAGATTTCTAAACCAATCAAATTAGGTAATTAAATATCTAAAACAATATCGGATAATGTTCTTACCTAATTTGCGGATAAGTTCCAAATTTGGACCCGGTTCCGGATAGGGCTTGTGGACACCGGATGGCCAAAGGTGGCGAATCGGCGGCGGCCACAACGATAGCGCTTCACAGTGCTACTCCAGTGTGGACGGTAAGGAGCAGCTAGGCTCACGGTGGTGTTCCGATCAATCTGCAAAACAAGAACACGAACCACGATGATGTAAGGATGCAACTGCCACGACCGCGATAGGGAAGATCGGGACGGACCGAGGACGGCATCGGGCTATGAGCTCGCGTCCGGTCAAATACCGCAGCCCGGGATTCATCAACCAAGCTTCGCGGCGGCTCCTAACCAATAGCGTCTACGGGGGCGGTGACGGTCGTCGTCGAAGCAATGGGGACGGCAACAACATCGATATAGGGTAGCGATAGCGTCATCGACGGTTGTCAGGGTAGCAGCGGGACATCGAGTAGGGTGGCGGAGCAGCCACAGCGTCGGTTTGCCTGGGGCAGGAGGTGTCACGGCGGGCACCGTCAAGGGCCAGGACAGCGGCAGCTCGGTGTTGGGGCTTGCGATGACCAGCAGCAGGCTCAACGCGGCAAATGGGTGATGTTGGGGCAGCAGTTAGGGTGACGGTTGGGCTCGACTGGTCAGAGGCGACCTCGGGATAGCGGTGACAACAGTAAGTGGCCTTAGCATGGGGCAACAGTAGTACACTGGTTGGACCAGGCGCAACGGCGGGCGTCAGGATCAACAGCGGCGGGTACGGCTTGGCATTAGGATCCTCATGGCCACTAGTCTGGCCGTGAGGGAGGCATCAACTAGAGCGGAATCAGCTTGGCTGTGAAGGTAGTTGGACGTCGGAGGCACGACAGGATGAGAAGACGCGGCCGAAGAAGGCTTGGCCGTGAGGGTGGCTTCGCCGATCTCTCTCTCTCTCTCTCTCTCTCTCTCTCACACACACACTCTTGCTCTTAAGTGTTTCAATCTTGTGCTCTCGAAAATCGTAATTGTCTCCCCTTGATCAAGTGGTATAACGATATATTTATGATGTAAACCTAGGTTAATTGGCCAGGCTTTGTAAGATGATGGGCCTTAACCGTGGCTTTTCTATTTAACTTCTTAATGGATTGAACTATCTTGGGCTTTTCTATAATTGAAGTTTAATGGGCTGATTTAAGCTCAAAATTAAGACAACCTAGGCTTGTTATGCCTTGTGATTTTCGACCCCCCTTTCCTACTGCCTAGCCGAGTGTTGCTTAATGTGCGAGTTAGGTATGCGCGACTAATTTGAACTCATTTGCCAATGCTGGTCCAATGCCAAATGCAAATTAAACTATATGATTCTAAATTATATGCTATGTAGTTTATTTTTGTTTAGGATTATTAATCCCTAATTTTCATGCAATTAATGTCAAAAAAAGGTTAGTCAAAATTTAGGTGTCCACAACTAATTACTTATTGGGCCTTCTAATAGTGGTTCTCACACCTTATACACAACACAATTTCGCGACCTTCCTAGAGGTGATCATCAAAAGGAAAACTAATGGATTACTAAGTCAAAAACTTAGCACAGACTCCCCCAAGCCCTACAATCACAACTTGGTACTCAATTTAATATGCAATTTTCTTACCATTTTGGAGCCACCA